CGGATATATGCGTGGACCCAATGCACAGAAAATGTATTTACACATTCTGCTTTGGGTCAATGAGCAGTCAACATCTGGTTTGTATAGAAAATGTAAGAAGTACAACAAAGAATTAATATGACATAGCAGTTGACATAGCTTTTCTTTGTTACTAAAGAAAATTCCCTTTTTCTTAGGATGGTCCTACTGGAAGGTATTTTTTGCTATTCCAATGTGTCTTCAGATTTCAATGCCACATTTTCCCATTGTATACTCGAACATTTCACAAATAGTTAAATTTCTAGTTTAATATTACATTTCCAAGATAAGCAATGATCAATTTTTGTATTATTTTTAACTTATGTTCTTATTTTGATTGATATAGATGTTATAGACACAGTGATTTGGCCAAGTACCCTCTGAACATCATCAGGTGTTCATTGATTAGCTGATATAAGATATCTGTTGATTATATTAAATACTAAACTATAAAAAGTAGTACAACCCTGCCATTATAACCAAATGTTAAAATTATCTGACATTGAGTATCAAAGGCTCCAAAAACACACAACTAATATCCTTCAAGATAGCAGTGAAGTGGATATCAGAGTTATTTAAACATGCATTATTAGGGAAATTTTCCTCAAAGCTTTACTCTTCATGGATTGTTCGTGTCACTAATTTTCTTTGTAAAAAAAGAAAAAAGAGGCTAGAAACAGACGCTGTTTAAATTATTTGCTCTGGATTTACATTGAGCTCTCTGGATTTTATCCTTCTTAGGTTTACCCATATGGATTACCTAGTTTTTCATAAACTATATATATATATATTACAGTGTATCACAAAAGTGAGTACACCCCTTACATTTCTTCAAATATTTAAGTATATCTCTTCATGGGACAACACTGACAAAATGACACTTTGACACAATGAAAAGTAGCCTGTCTGCAGCATATATAACAGAGTTAATTTATTTTTCCCTCAAAATAACTCAAAATATAGCCATTAAAAGCTAAATCCTTAGCAACAAAAGTGAGTACACCTCTTAGGAAAAGTTGTCAATATTAACATACAACATGTCAACTGTCAATATTTTGTGTGGCCACCATCATTATCCAAAACTGCCTTTACTCTCCTGGGCATGGAGTTTACCAGAGCTTCACAGGTAGTCACTGGAATGCTCTTCCACTCCTCAATGACGATGTCACAGAGCTGGCGGATATTTGAGACTGTGCACCTCCACCTTCTGCTTGAGGATGGCCTAAAGATGTTCTATTGGGTTCAAGTCTGGAGATATGCTTGGCCAGTCTATCACCTTTACCCTCAGCCTCTTCAGTAAAGCAGTGGTTGTCTTGGATGTGTGTTTGGGATCATTGTCATGCTGGAACACTGCTCTGTGACCCAGTTTCTGGAGGGAGGGGATCATGCTCTGCTGCAGTATTTCACAGTACATGTTGGAGTTCATGTTTCCCTCAATGAAATGTAACTCTCCAATACCTGCAGCACTCATGCAGCCCCAGACCATGACATTCCCACCACCATGCTTGACTGTAGGCATGACACACTTATCTTTGTACTCCTCACCTGGTCGCCACCACACATGCTTAAGGCCATCAGAACCAAACAAATTAAATTTTGTCTCATCAGACCATAGGACATGGTTCCAGTAATCTATGGGCTTTGTTGACATGTCTTCAGCAAACTGTTTGCGGGCTTTCTTGTGTATTGCCTTCAGAAGAGGCTTTCTCCTGGAGTGACAGCCATGCACACCAATTTGATGTAGTGTGCAGTGTATGGTCTGAACACTAACAGGCTGAATCCCAATCTCTTTAATCTCTGCAGAAATGCTAACAGAACTCCTACGCCAATCTTTCAAAGAAAGCATTTGGATGTGATGCTCAGCTTCTTTGGACGACCTACCCGAGGCCTGTTCTGAGTGGACCCTGCTCTTTTAAAATGCTGGATGATCTTAGCCATTGTGCTGCAGCGCAGTTTCAGGGTGTTGGCAATCTTCTTGTAGCCTTTGCCATCTTTATGTAGTGCAACAATACATTTTTTAAGCTCCTCAGAGAGTTCTTTGCCATGTGGTGCCATTTGGAACTTTCAGTGACCGGTAAGAGAGAGTGTTAGAGCTGCACTACAAATTTGAATACACCTGCTCTCCATGAACACATGGGCATAGGTACACTAATGAGTCACATGACATTTTGGAGGGAAAATGAAAAGCAGTACTCAATTTAGACATTTAGGGGTGTAGTTTCTTATGGGTGTACTCACTTTTTAGGGGTGTAGTTTCTTAGGGGTGTACTCACTTTTGTTGCCAGAGATTTAGCTTTTAATGGCTATATTTTGAGTTATTTTGAGGGGAAAAGAAATTAACTCTATTATATATGCTGCAGACAGACTACTTTTCATTGTGTCAAAAGGTAATTTTTTCAGTGCTGTCCCATGAAGAGATATACTTCAATATTTGAAGAAATGTGAGGGGTGTACTCACTTTTGTGATACACTATATATATATATATATATATATATATATATATATATATATATAACAGACTCCATGACAAATTTGAAGCTGATATGTTTGCAGCATCTGCAACTGAAATTTAAAAATTTACTTGTGTTGGTACACTGTAATGTTCATTCTACAAATATACAATGTTTATATTCAATTTTGTTCATTTACTAACTCTTTCTCTTTTCTTAGGTTAATTGATCAATTTACTACTGACATGGCTACTGTATTAATGAGGGTAGCCAGAGATCATACATTGTTTGACTCTGAAAGTGTTCTTCCAGTGGACAAAATTCCCTTGAAAATGTGAGATGTTAAAGAATTGTTGGCAAAATAAATGTAATGAAGGAAAGTTTACAGATGTTTCAATGATTATCAAAATGGTCACCCAGGATTGCTCAGAAAAATGTGAAAAGATAGACTCTTCTTCTTCTTAGCCAGAAAACTATTGAGGAAAAGTTGAGAGAATTGTACAGTAGAGGAAAGGAAGTTAATAAGAACAAGAATGTGGGCAAAAAAGCATCATTTCAGGAAGAAATGAAGGAGTTGTTTGATAACTGTAGCTGTTACTGTCCCCCTGTCTCCTGTCAAGATGTTAAGTGCAAAGTTAAGAAGTGTGACAGAAATCACATGGCCTGTAATTGTGACATAAAAGTTCCCAAACATGAAGTGCAGTTCCCCCTTGACCAGTGAGATGATAGCATCATGAAAATTGCAGGGACTGACATGAAAGTGACGATGGTGTGGGACAGAATGATGCTAAGAGAGAAACATGATGCGGACAGAACCATCAGACAGCTTGATCAAAGATCTAAAGATTTTTCACAAGGTTTTTGGTCCAGTTATACAAATAATGCCAGAAAAGTGCAGCTTGCAACTCCAAAAAATGTGTTTTTTTTACAGCTAGTGATCATGAGTTCAATCCTTGGATCAGGTTGTGAAGAACCAATTCAGCTAAAAGAAACAATAACTGATATCACAGGGGAAAAATATCACAATCAACAGATATTCCATATTGCCCAATCAATGGACACCTGATGATGACCAGAGGGTACTTGGTTGAAATGTTTTGTCTATAATAACATCTATATCAATCAAGATTAGAACAATAGTTAGTTATGAGTTAAATTATTGTACTTGCTTTATATTGACATCCATAATTTGTAGTTTGCATCTTGAGCTTTCCCTTTCACTAGTGACCATAACTTTAAGTACTGAATCACTGTAATGTACAGAAATCCTGTATTTGACATTCACCGTGGAATTTACAGTTTCTACTTGTATTTATAATTGTTCAGAACACAAAATGGACTTGACAAAATAGGCCATAAACCTGTCAAAGGGAGATACAATATGGTTTCTTTTTATTACTGAATCTTCTCCTTTTATGTGCCATGTTCCTTCCGAACGTGACTCTCCACAGCTTCCTATCATTCTATAATTTACAACTAATCATTTTATTTTTCAAATATAAATACTACTAATCAGCTGACTACTTTTGCACACAGTAAGTTTCTTTCAGAAGCAAATTTTTGAATGTAGCAAATTCAATTTTCACTAAGTTCTCCAGACAAAAATCATTATACCAACTAGCTCGGTTTATGGAAATGCTACTAAAAGGGTTTACAATTACAATAATCACCCTTGCATATATTCTTGCAATAATTGACAGAAAATATAAATATAGTGTAGTGATAGCAACAAATAAATTATTAAATAACCTCTGACCCTTTGTACTAGACTATGTAGGAGTACAAAAAACAAAATAATAATAAGAGAAAAAATAAAAGTTAAATAATAAAATTAGTTTAAGATATAGAAAAAATAATAATTAACAATAAAGAAAGAAAAAGTGAGATTCTAAAACAACAGTTAAATAAATATGAAAACTCCCATCATGCACTGGAAAAGATGTTTTGACACCAATTGAAACAGAAATCAAATATTCTCTCTCTTCAACTTCAATGGCCAAATGAAGCAGATGTCCAGGCACAGTGCACTGACAGACCATGTGGCTCCAACCAGATAAGCAAAAACATTTTTTTCTCTCTATATGTATAAGTACTTTGAAATAAACAAACATTTCTCTGAAATAAATATGAAAGTCTTTTATCATTTTTCTTTACACTTATTGTGTTGTATCTCGTACATGATTTGTTTGTAATTTCCATTGGGGAGCTGATGATGTCATTTTAACCCCAAAATAAAATTTTTTATATATATAAGAAGGACATTAAAACAAGGTCAACATATCATCAGATAAACCTCTGAACACATTTACACATATAAAACTGACAAACAAAATTATTAAAAATATCTAAGTTAGACAATAAAGGCTGACAGTTTTTAGTCTGAGAAGACATAGCCTAATAAAATTAAAGAGTGCTACTTGTTTTTCCTTTCTTATTTCAGTGAAGAAAAAATCTAAATATCTCATTTAACTTCTTTTTTTTTGAGGTGGATAGTTATAAAAGATATAAACGTATATAAATTATTTACTTACCAGCAATAACGCATGTCTTTAATGATATCCTTAATGCAGTCAGTAAGTATTGACACATTTTCAAATTTCATCCCTCGGCTGCAAGGAAAAACAAAACAGAATGTAAGAGAAAGAAAAATGATCAAAACAAATTAAAAAAATTACGATAAAATATACAAACAAAAAATAATCACTAAGAGATACAAAAAAAGAAATGGCAAAACTTTGCAAAGTTCAAACACAGTTGGCATTAAGATGAATCCATGATTAATGTTCCATGTTGTTATACACTGCGTCAAATTAGTCTTTCTTGTTTGCTGTACATCAAAACATGTCAGCCGGATGTGAACGCACTGAAGCAAAAGTAAAAATAAAACAGTCGTTCTCTGCACAGGGCCTCTAAGTATCATGACGAGCTAGCAAAACAAATCCCCACCAAATATAAAATCATACAGATTGCCACTAAAGCAAAACTGTGACAAAAAATACTGAATCATGTATCCACCATGACTGCTTAAAAGGACCCGTTCATGACACACAAGCAGTATGCAGTCACCAACAACACCAGTGGTCTCAGTTATATATATATATATATATATATATATATATATTTTTTAAAATGTAGCAATATATCAATAAGTCCATAACATAATGTTGTAAAAAAGCATTTATTGTACACAACAAATATTTGTTTTTTAACATCATGTCCTTAATTGTTGATGCACTTAATTCAGTAATGAGTACTAATTATATAGGCTTAGCAAATTATACAGTGAAAATTTCAGATCAAAACATCAGACTGAAAATTTATTGAGCCACTCAAAATTATATTAACAACTAATATGGAACCAGTCAAAAATGGAAGGATTTTTTTTTAATCTATGGATCAGCAATTATGTTAAGAGTATCTGTTGAGTATCAAAGAAATGCTCCTTCTTGAATATACAATCTGTGCACTGTGAAAAGTGTTTTATATCTAAGTTTCTATATACCTGCATATAAAAATAATTTATATTGTTGTCCAATTACAGAAACATGTGGCAATTGATCCTCAACCACATGTTACATCTGTCTAAAAGTCTGCAAAATCCTACAACCTTCAAGATGAGAGAGTCTACCACAAACACACACACACACACACAGACAAAACAACAGCAAAAAGCACCAACAAATATTGCTGTGGCTATGCCCCAAGATCCTCACTGTTGCACAATATGTGGACTTGTATGGAAGTCACTAGAGGGACTGATGTGTCACATATGATAGAAACATAAAAGCTGAAGGAGGTTGTCGGATCCTCATATGCTGAAATCAACAGATCACCATCATATATATATATATATATATATATATATATATATATATATATACTACAGGCAAAGAGTCTGGGACAACCCTGCGTATCTCTAAAATACACCTTAAAATGAGATATTTTTATATTTTTTTAAAAGTAAAAAATACAATTTCACTAACTACAGTATATTTGCTTATTTAGCTTTCAGTCTTTCTCTTACCACCAAAAAGTTCAAATTTGAATTCATCTGTTAACAATACATGAATATTTTGTATGAGAAACATTGAATTTTTGTTTTCACCATTAACCTCTCTCAAGACTTTTTGAGATTACCAGAAGGGCTGAATATTTGATTCATTTCAAAGGAGCCATGAAAAGGAACAGTATCATTTTATATCATATGACTTATGCATAATTGAAAAAACATTCACCTTCCAACAAGACAATGAGCCAAAAAACTCTTCCAAATTATGTGAAAATTACATGAAATGTAAAAAAAAAAAAAGGAACAAAATTTTGGAAATTATGTCTTGGCTGCCTCAATCACCTGAACTCTCCTACTAAGATAGTAGGGGGTGAATCAGATAAGAGAGATTGAAGAGAATACTCAAAGTGTGAGAGTGAGCTTTTTAGTGCTTGAAGAAGGCTTTGGAAGGCTTACATTTTTTCAAAAACTGATGTAAAGAATACCAAGAATTTGTAAAGCAGTAATTAAGGCAGGTGGTCATTTTATTGATGAAAACAAAATATAACAGTGTTGTGTGATATTTTCTTTTTATAGCTAAGTGCTTATTTTTTACCAAAATAAAATCAAATACACTGTAGTTACTCAAATTTTATCTTTTACTTTAGAAAACACAAAAATATCTCATTTTAAAGTGATTTTTAAAGAGATGTATGGTGTGCCAAATTTTTTTTTACTGTAGTATATATATATATATATATATATATATATATATATATATATATAGGGGGAGTGGTTATAGTAGTTCCAACAAGGGAAAAGTGTGTATATTAAAAAGAAGAAAGAAACTGCAAATGTTTTTGGTTGTCATGTGGTTTTTTAAAAAAAAATATTGTGACCTTCATCAGGCAAAGTGTGGAGATTTCCACATATTATTATTATTTTTAATAATATGTGGAAATCTCCACACTTTGCCTGACGAAGGTTGCAAGAATGGAAACACGTGTAGCAAAATTATGGAAAATAAAGCATAACATTTTTTAAAAATCCTCATTACAGCCAAAAATGTTTGCATTTTTCTTCTTTTTTTATATATATATATATATATATATATATATATATATATATATTTAGTTGTAGTGAGAAAAAAGAAAGCATAAATAATAAGAAAGAAAGAGAGGGAAAATAGAGGAGAAGACAATATTCTCTCTTAATGTCTGCTTTAGTGAAATGAAAAACTGTATGTTTTTAATCTTTTCATTTTTATCCTCTTACTTCTTTAAATAATGACCTGCATTCATACTTATGACTCTTGTTGCAATATTTTATCAAAGTTGTTAAGCTCAAATTTCCATGGATATTTTATAATTGTGGAAATCACAAGGAGCTTATTCATTCATTAAATTAAGAACTATAATTCATTGTAAAATTCAAATAGGGAAATCATGAAATTTCCACTGGTACAAATGAATTTTGAAAAAAATTGATATTTTAAAAATTTACAGAATTTAACCTTTGACCCTAATATTGCAAAATTTGAACTAAATGATATGTGAATCTGTGTTCATATGTATATGAAAGTCAAGGCTATTTAAGCACATGATTTGAGTTTTCAGGTTCATGTTTTGATTTTGTAGCAATGTGCAGTGTTGGGAGGAACTACCTCTGTTGGCTCAGCCAATTCTATGTTCAATTTCTTTTTCTCCTATACTTAATTTGTTATAACTGATCCATACACGGAGGTATTTGAAGTGTTTAGTATTTACTAATTCCACACACTGAATTTTTATGATAGATTCAGGGAGAGAAAACAAATGGATTCATACCATTTCCAAGGATATTTGTATGAAAGTGAATGTCACAAACTTGTCTAGAATTTGAAGAAGGCTCACCAATTACACTACTTTGAACATCCATGTAATATATATATATAGTCCTGTTGGGGGATATTTTATTTTAACTGTTCCTCGCTAATTTATTTACATGGTATTTCCCCTACCCTCATTACAAATATATACACTTGTTTGTTATTTTAGTGTGTTTCCCCCCCTCTTTTTGCTCTTCATTGTCGTTAATATTCTTTTCGTTGATCCAACGATTGTCTCCTGATGAGATGTTGGTTGAAAGGGCCCTAGAGACTTTTAAAATTAAAATCAATACATTCCTTGTTTTTAAAACTATATATAAATTTTGTACCTCTAAGCATTTGTTTATATATATATATATATATATACAAATGAAATGAGAATGAATAAAATACAAATTCAAACGTTCATAAGCTTAATTTAAAAATAGGGCTCAATAAAATAGTAGAGCGATAATTCTAAACAACATTTCAAATATATCTTTTTCATCTGTCTGTCCTCCCAATCAAAATTGAATAGTTCATTATTTTTTCTGAGGTAATGGTTGGGTATAATGAATGCACTATTAACTTACTAACAAAAGAACAAGGAAAAATATTATATGTTTTTTTTTCAGAGCATGCAAAAGATATTTTCTTGCTATTTCTGACAGCAACATAGATTTATTATTAAATAGATATACTCTCACTCATGTCCTCATCTTCAGATATCAAATCTTATTAAAATATAAATCTGTCACTTAGATTTTTTACATTATCTCCATTCCAGAAAGAATTACTCTTTTCCCAAGACCAACATACATAAAATTGTTAAAAAATGACTCGCTTTCATTTATTAGACATTGAATTGTGTAACTTTGCATCCTCCAAAGCTTGCCTGATTTTTCTAACAACCAGATGAATATTTTGAGTGTTCTTACATTTAAAGCTTTGGAAAACCAATAAAATTTTTGCTCTTGTATATAAATACTTATTACAAAATAAAATCCTTGAATTTGCTTTGATAAAGTCACTCAGAGGACAAAACACGTCAGCTAAGATAAGTTTTCCATTTTTCGCCTTTATTCATAAGTATGAATGCAGTTTATTATTTAAAGAAGCATGAGGATACAGATGAAAAGATTAAAAACTGACAATGTTTTCTATTTCACTGAATCAGACAATTAAACACATGAGAGTATTATCTCCTTCTTCATTTTTCATCTCTTTATTATTTTTGCTTTCATTTTCTCACAACTAAACATATACCCTGGCTTGTGACCTAATCTTCATGGCTGTAATAAGGTATCTATCATACCTGGTAATGTTCTTGGAATTTCAAATCAAACACATCATTTAATCCATTGGAAATAATTGGGTTCATTCTGCTAGAGCATAGCTAATCTGAGTTAATCCCCACCTGACTAGATAATTTGTTTTTCAGATGTTGTTTGTTTCTTCCATTGAACCAAAGCATATAACTTTTTGTACTACCAAATCCAGAGATATAATGGAGAATGGACAGCAGGAAGAGAACAATTAATTTCTGGAGACTGAATGAAGTGTTCAGTTCAAGATTCCCAAAACTATGACAGGAAGGAAGAACAGTAGAAGAGCTGAAATGCTGAAGCAATAACAACAAACGTGAGGATACTTGTCTGAGTAAACCAATGTATAATAATCATAATTTGCTTAAAAATTCAGATAATAATTGTATAGACAAATTAAGCAAATTTTTAAAAATTTTCTTTTTCACCCTAATTACCTGAATACATATG